AGCTAATTTTTTGTATTTTTGGTAGAGACGGGGTTTCACCATGTTGACCAGGATGGTCTCGATCTCTTGACCTCGTGATCCACCCGCCTCGGCCTCCCAAAGTGCTGGGATTACAAGCGTGAGCCACTGCGCCCGGCCTAACTGGGATTATTTTTAAGGAAGAGAACTCTCTTTATTTCTCTCTCTCTCTCTCTTTCTTTCATTTTCTTTTTTTTTTAATTTGAGATGGAGTCCTGCTCTGTCACCCAGGCTGGAGTGCAGTGGTACAGTCTCAGCTCACTGCAACCTCTGCCTCTGGGATTCAAGCAATTCTCTGCCTTAGCCTCCTGAATAGCTGGGATTACAGCCACCCAACACCATGCCTGGCTAATTTTTGTATTTTTAGTAGAGATGGGGTTTCACCATCTTGTCCAGGCTGATCTTAAACTCCTGACCGTGTGATCCACTCACCTCGGCCTCCCAAAGTGCTGGGATTACAGGAGTAAACCACCTCACCTGGCCAGGAGGAACATTTACTTAACATAGTTGAGGCAGTTTCCGTATTGACTATTGCACTCTCAACAAATGAATAGATACTTTGAAAGTGTTTTAGAGATAGTTTATTATCTACAGGGCTCAAAAGGTTCACTGTCATGTCTCTGATAGCACTGTGGATGAATTTTCACGGATTTATATCTGTAGGAAGATTTACTTTCCAAATTGTAACTGATTTAAATATTCGTCAAGCTCTTATTGAACTCCTTAATTTCTGCCACATTCTGTGCTCAGCAGCTGCAGGTAGGAGAGAAGGGGTCCTCCTTCCCCTGGAGAGGCTCACTTTCTCATGAGGGGGATACTCTGCAGGCAATTGTATCATGTAACACACGGTGAATTACACTGATGAATACACAAAACCAGAAACGTTTTGTGGTGTGGCTGCAGGGAAAGGGATCCCAGAAGGTGGATGAGGTCAAGCTTGCTGGGACAAGGGGAAAAGGAATAAATATTCCAGACAGAGAGCAGCACGAGTGATGCAGGAATGTGCCATAATGTGCATCAAATAACTTAAAGAATCAAATCAATTAACCTTTGAAATGAACGCAGAGTATTCTCAGAAGTTCTCATCTGAGTAGTGTAATAGCAGTCTTACGTAAACATGAAGTGAAAGTTAAATTCCCAAAGTTGTTTTAATCATCTGATTTTTGGATGTGAGAGAGTCTTAAAGCAGTACTTTTTCCATCTTCCCACAAGGAAACAGGCCCAGGGAGACCTATGGCCCTCACTTGTTTGGTGACTGAGCAGGTTTGGCACACACAGTCTCTTACTCTGACACACTGGTTCCATCGCACTCTCTCTTGAATGCACACACTTAGGATTAGTAACTTAGTAAATGTAGTATTATGTCTTCGTTTACTGCAATCAAATGCTCTTGTGTCAATATTATTTAATGTATGACATTTTGTTGCAGTTAATGAATAACAGAAATAGAAAATCTCAGTGCTTTTTACTGCATAAGAAAAAAACATGAAATCCCATTTTAAATGTTTCCCATTATTTATAAAGGGAATTTATCATAGAGGCTTGCCAGGTTTGATGATCGGTGGCATATCAAGGGCAGCATTTTATAACCCATTTCTCAAACATCATCTGTGAAAGTTAAGAGCCTCCAATGAGTTTCCCATAGAGCTGCACATGATACCACACTCAGGCAGGTCTCGGGGTATAAAAAGTACCTTAATGCTTTATTGTTTGACATTTTGACAAAGGGAAAAAACCCACACATTTGTAAGTTCAGCCTACTGTGATATTTTTCTCTATCTTCCTTCTTCTTCAGATACCTCCTTGCCATCTTGATAGAAAATACAGCTCGTGTTCCACCATATTGCTAGATAACAGCACAGTCAGCGAGCCTGATCCAGGCACACATTAGAAAGGTGAGTACAACGAGGCTGCCAAGGGCTGAGTGACAGACCCCTATGCTAAAAGCATCCTGGCCATCCGCTGTTATTTCAGCCATTCGGTTGCCCTTTTCAGCAAGCAGTTGAAGAAGTTGATGTCAGAAACAGCATGGCTATGTATTTGATACATTTATGTTATGACAATATTGAACCTAATGGACAGGAGAGGTGCTTTTTATTGGATGTTTCTAGGAAAAATTATTAGTTCTTTATGGGCCCCAGGCCTAAGACGATGGGCACTACTTTGGAAACTACTCTTGGAAGAAGGAACAGCTTGTCCTCCAGTGGCACCATAGTGTATCTGCATTTAAATTTTCCCATCATGCACCAGCATTTCATAGGCCACAATCAGAGATGCCCTTTCAAAACACCCTTGAAAGATGGGTTCAAGTTGGTTTAAAAAGCCAGCTCCTCCCAGCACTTTGGGAGGCCGAGGCGGGTGGATCACGAGGTCAAGAGATTGAGACCATCCTGGTCAACAAGGC